TTTGGCGGGTCCGGGCTGGGGATTCGAACCCGCCACCTTAGGTGTACGTGGCTGGCGCCTTAGCCGGTTGAGCTATAGGCGCCGAGCCTGGTCCCCATTTCTTAAGGGGCCCAGAAAGCTCATTAGTTGGCATCCAATTGTTAATCCAATGTGTGTCTCCGGTGTGACTGTGTAAAGAGTAAAGACCTTCCAGGGCAATGAGTGCCTGGAGTCCTTTGCCAGCCTATTCTCTTCCAGGCAGACTAGATCTGTGGGAAGGTGAATGAGAATGAGAATATCAGTTTATTAATTTATAATGACAATCAGAGCCACCCAGGGGACCAGACATGTCTTTGTGCCTGCGCCTTTAGTACACATAGGCAAACTTCTTAGCCAAATTGCGGGAAGATTACTGGATCCAGAGAGGCAGAACAAGTGGAGCTGGTTTGTTTTTCTTGCCTCAGGTGCCCACCACAATGCCTGGCTATTTTTAGAGATGAGGTCTTCCTCCAGCTCAGGCTGGTCTCGAACCTGTCAGCTCAGGCAATCCATCCACCTCAGCCTCCCAAATGCTGGGATTACAGGTGTGAACTATTGTGCCCAGCCCTCACCTCTGAAAGGTACAGGATGGCCTTCTGATCCACAAATGACACCCAGTCACCCGGCTCTCTAATCACGTGCTGAGTGTCTGCCGGGCACCAGGCAGAGATGCTCAATCACTGCCAGGCTTGTGTCCTCACATACTATGTTTTAAAGCTGAGGTCACAGCTAAAGCCTCTGTTGTATTTCCCTCTTTACACACAACTTCTGTAAGCTTGTCTAATCTCTGAATGCACAGCTTGAAGTCAAGAGATGGAAGCCAGTGGGCCCCCCGCACATCATCCCCACATGGAACCAGTATTTAGAGTCAGTGTCAATAACAAGTAATCAAGAAAAGATGTATGGAGTCACATGCTAATGTTAGGGAAAGTGCCTGAAAATCTTTAAAAGATCCAGACGGCCAAACTCTTGGGTCTGTGGAATACTTGGGATAGATCAGCCCCATAGGGCAACATCTCATTGCCATAGCTCTCATGGACTCCTTCACAGCCCGGCTGAAAGCCAGGGGATGCTATTAGGGACTGTTAAGGTTTTAAACTGTGAAGCTGTCAGGGTTAACATTACCTTGATTCTACAGAACCCTCACAGGTGAAGACCAATAAATATGGATTCCAAGACACATGTTTGTTTTAACTTGACCTATAACTTGGCTGGGTGAGCTACTCAAGTCATCTGTCCCAGAAGTAAAAATAACCCAAATGCCTGGGGAACCAGGAGCCAGCCTTGTCTGAGTAGACTAAGAGGCCTCCGCTCAAGAAGGGACGGCCACTTCCTCCTCTGCCTGGTCTGATGTAGAACTCACATTCAAAAGTGGGAGAAGGGAAGTGGGTAGGGCCAGGTCATGCTGCCTCCCCTTCTCCACCCTAGCTCCTCTTCTAAGAAGATGAGGAAGGAGGGTACCACTGTATCTGCTTCTACTTTTTAAAACATCTCCTAGATTCTGCTGGGAATGACTAGAGTAGAGCAGAAGGCACCCACATCCCAACCAGTAGATTTTTCCCCAAACAGTAAAATTTCATGGCTCAGCACCCATAGCTCAGTGTTTAGGACACTGGGCCATATACACCGGGGCTGGCAGGTTCAAACCCGGCTTGGGCCTGCTAAACAACAATGACAACTGCCAACAACAAAAAAAGCCAGGTGTTGTGGTGGGTGCCGGTAGTCCCAGCTACTTGGTAGGCTGAGGCAAGCGGATAGGTTAAGCCCAAGAGTTTGAGGTTGTTATGAGCTGTGGCGCCATAGCACTCTACCCAGGGCGATATAGTAAGACTCTGTCTCAAAAAAAAAAAAAAAAAATTTCCTCACTGCCACTGTCTTACCTGTGACACCAGCACATTTCTTGAGGCATTCCTCTTTGCTCTGGTAATTGTTGTCATTTCCTTCACAACCTCCGTACACAAACTGCTGGCAGGACCCATCAGTGACATTGTACCACCATCTTGGGATGGAAGCCCGGCATCTCCCCACCACCTTGGAAACCAGGCAGAAATCTGAAACACAAAGCAGAATTGGTTAGATTGCCAGAGCAAGCAATTGGTTAGATTCCAGAGCAAGCAATTGGTTAGATTCCCAAGAGGGGAACCAGGCCCTAAACAGCCAGCAAGGTGCCTTGGTGAACTGGGTTTTTTTGTTTGTTTGTTTTTGTTTTTCTTTATTGTTGCTGCAGTTTGGCTGGGGCCGGGTTCGAACCCGCCACTCTCAGTATATGGGGCCAGCACCCTACCCACTGAGCCACAGGCACTACCCAGTGAACTGTTTTCAAAACCTGGTGCCAACAAGCCTACTTGGTGCCTCCTTCCTTGTACAGAAAAGAAATGCATCACCTAACTGCAAAGTACCAACCACCTACTGAACTGTATTTCAGTTGCATGCTGATTCTGTCCCTACCCCTATTATCAAAGGCATATACATTCAGTATAGAAATTTATGACTTTTCTTCTTTTTTTAAGACAGTCTCAAGCTGTCACCCTGGGTAGAGTGCCATGGCATCACAGCTCATAGCAACCTCCAACTCTTTGGTTTAAGTGATTATCTTGCCTCAGCCTCCCAAGTAGCTGGGACTACAAGTGCCCACCATAAAGCCTAGCTATTCTTTTGGTTGCAGTTGCCATTGTTTGGCAAGCCCAGGCTGGATTCGAACCCACCAGCTCTGGTGTATGGCTGGCGCCCTAGCTGCTGAGCTACAAGCGCTGGGCCAAATTTATGACTTTTAAAGGCAACAACACCCAGGTTCCAGGAGCCCTCTGGATGCTGCCCCAGCCCACCATGCCAAAAGGAGCTTAGCATTGAAAAGTCAGCACTGGGGAAGTGAGCTTGGGAAGGAGGCTCCTATCAGTACCCTTGGCACCCCACACATGTACCTGTCCACTCTGTCAGGCAGGCCACATACAAGCAAACCACCACAAGAGCCTCAGAAAGAAGCCTCCTAACTCTAGTTCCCCCACCTCATCCCCCAGCTCCACAAGCAACCCCGGTCATGCTCTGCTCCAGCCCTAGTCATAGCTCCCATCTAGTGCTAAAAATGGCCCTGGGTTCCAAAGGACACATGAATTCTGCCCCTGCTCTAGTACAAGAGAAATAAAATAATGTTGTAAAATTTCAACTGGACACATTTGCTTGCAAAAAACTAGAGGTCTGTACTCTCTTTACAAAAAGGAAAGATAAACACTGGAATTATTACCAGCACCTAAAGGAGCCTTTCTCCTGAAAGACTCAGGACTGAAAGCAACTTGAAAAGGGAGTAACCCATATGATTCCAGGTCTGCTCCTGTACCACGGTGTTACACCCCACACACACACACCCCTCTCTGCCTGGTCTAATCAGTGCACAGCCTGGCATGGGGTACGTGGTAAATGGGTCCCTAGTGAAATCATCCCAGGGCCCCATGCCTGCCTGGGTGCTGCCATTTACTCCCCTCTAGCTCTTCCCATGTTTGTTGGGTTTACTTCACCAACTGGGGATAATCTTCAAATGCACAGAGCACAAGATTTGTGCTTGTTATGTCACATAAAACATGTCACAGTGATAGACATGAAACCAGATGTTCCATAAAACCAACTATGGACAAAAAAGGTTGCTACTGTGCAAAATACACACACACACACACACACACACACACGGAACTCTCTCACATGCCTACAAGTCACAGGTAACTAGCTCGGCAGAAAAAGCACATTCTCATGTAGGAAATCTTTTATCAGTTAAAAGCAAGCAACAATTAAATCACCAGTTAAAAAGCATCTTATCTGGACATTTCAGATAAATGAAATCATACAACATGTCCATAGAAGGCAAATGAATAGAGAGAAGAAGTAGATCAGAAGTTACCTGGTATTAGGGGTGGGAGTGTGTGGGGGGGTGACTGTGAATAGGTACAAAGATCTTTAGGAGATGATAAAAATGTTCTAAAATTGGCTCGGCACCTGTGGCTCAAGTGGCCACTAAGGTGGCGGGTTCGAATCCAGCCCAGGCCTGCCAGACAACAATGACGGCTGCAACCAAAAAATAGCCGGGCGTTGTGGTGGGCGCCTATGGTCCCAGCTACTTGGGAGGTGGAGGCAGGAGACTCGCTTGAGCCCAGGAGTTGGAGGTTGCTGTGAGCTTTGATGCCATAGGCACTCTACCCCAGGGGACAGCTTGAGGCTCTGTCTCAATTAAAAAAAAAAAAAGTTCTAAAATTGATTGTGGTAGGAGATGCACAGCTCTGTAAAATGTACCCCAAATCCTTGGATCATATACTTAAAATGAGTGATTTTGTGGTACATAAATCTTTTTTATAAATAGTAGGCACCATATGTCCATAACATAGCAAACAGAACCAGCTGAATGTGTACCAGGAACAGGTACTTTTGACAATATGCCAAAGGTCACAAAACATGCACAATCAAGGCCCAAGGAAAACACAGAAGAGTACTCTTGGGTATGACGCTGCCAAACCCACACAGCTGTCAGTGCTACAAACTGCATTGCTACCACCAAGACAATATTTACAGGACCACACAAGATCCAGTTAGGAGGCTAGGCGCCTATAGCTCAACCGGCTAAGGCGCCAGCCACGTACACCTAAGGTGGCGGGTTTGAATCCCCAGCCGGGACCCGCCAAACAACAATGACGGCTGCAACCAAAAAATAGCTGGGCGTTGTGGCGGGCGCCTGTGGTCCCAGCTACTTGGGAGGCTGAGGCAGGAGACTCGCTTGAGCCCAGGAGTCGGAGGTTGCTGTGAGCTATAATGCCACGGCACTCTGCCCAGGGGGACAGCTTGAGGCTCTGTCTCAAAAAAAAAAAAAGATCCAGTTAGGATCCAAATCTGAAAAACAGCAACTGCTACAGAGACATCAACAGCCTATCAGATGCCTGCCATGCTGAGAGCCACAGTGGTCACCCTGACTGCTCTGTGTCCTTGTTTCCTGAGAAGTTTCAGGTACAGCCTTTTTTTTTCCTTTGAGACAGAGTTTCACTCTGTCACCCTAGGTAGTAGAATGCCCTGGTGTCATAGCTCACAGCAACCTCAAACTCCTGGGCTCAAGTGATCCTCCCACCTCAGTCTCCAGAGTAGGTGGGACTACAAGCACTTGACACCATGCCCAGGTAGTTTTTCTATTTTCAGTAGAGAAAGGGTCTTGCTCTTGCTCAGGCTGGTCTCGAACTCCACCTCCCACCTAGGTTTACCGGTGTGAGCAGCCCAAGTACAGCCTCTGAATAAAAAACTTGAGGGAGGAATTGTGTATTTTAAGTAGGTGAACTGTGTGATCTGTGAATTATATCTCAATAAAATAAAAACCAAAAAGCAGCAATTTGTAGGAGGGTCCAACAGAACTCAAGGCTTCCAAGCATCAGAAACACAAGACACTACCAGGCAGAGAATGAAACATGGTGACCACAGACAGCATAATGGCAGGAATTCAGTGGCTTTTCAAAAACAAGGCTGCCTGCTACCTGCTATGGGCCAGGCACAGAAGCCCGACAGTGTGAAAGGACAGAGAGGAAAAGTATCTATATAGGGGAGTCACCTAGGTGAATTCAACACTGCTGAGACATGGACTCCCATCAGTGCCCTGCTGCTGCTGAGACACAGATCTAGCCACAAAGCACAGGAGACATGTGAAACCAAAGTAGCAGGTGACCAATTTACAACAAAAAAATCAACTGTTGAGCAGACTAGATATTCACATTAACTAGCATACCGCCCAGGGAAAGCAAGCTGAAACATAAGCTCTTCAGAGTCAGAATAAGGCAAGTTGACTATGAGTCCTAGGAACATTCGATCAGCATCTACGTTTATCAGGCAGATCAGATAGCTCAGGACAAAACTTCAAGAGCACAGTCAAAATCTGCTTCTGAGACACTTCCTTTCCTGGCCGCTGCTGCTGACCAGTGCCTCTTCTAGACTGCAATGCTCTTTCTGTAGATTGCTGGTACCTTCACCACAAGTCTTACAGGCCTGAGAAGCTATTCTGGGTCTAGATGGCTGCTCACATCTGCTCTGGATTTTTACATGTTGATTTGACAGCTTAAAGTTTAGAAAGTGGCCTTATTTTCAGGTGAGATAGGTAGGAAAGGCAGGACCCTCACTGCTATCACAGTGGAATTTAGAAAAGTCTCTTTATTAAGAGAAAACTTAGACTAAAAACACAGTATATATGGAAGGACAGACTATTTTTTTTTTTTT